AGATGTGGGGGGGGATGGCGGGAAGCTGGGGTTTCGGTCAATCCAGGCTGCTGACCCAGCTCCAGGTCCAATCTTCCCCTCACTTCTCCACTCTCAGGTGAGCCACCTGCTCTTATGGCTGGTGGGTCCCGGAGCCTCAGATGCCGTCCTATTCTCTGCTCTGTCACTATCACTCTCTTGCCATCACCAGCCTACTGTCCTTCAAAAGATGAATGGCCAGGTAAGAAGGCTGCCCATCTGAGGGGACTTGGGGGTCTTTCTTCTGACGGTTGAGGAAGGGAACACAAGGGGAGTCGGGGCTCGCTGGGTGGCTGGGTGGGGCTTTGTGTGGGGCATGGGGACCTCAGTATGGGCAGAGTGAGGGCTCAGTCTAGAGCGAGGGCCGGGGCTGGGCGAGGAGTTTCATTCAGGACCAAGAGCTCAGTCTTTCGCCAGAGTCAGATCTTGAACTGGAGCTCACGCTGTAATTGGCATCAAGACCTGGTCTAAGGCTGGACTCAGAGCTTTGTCCGGAGCCAACATCTTGGCTCTGTGTTTGCGGTCAGAGCTATTAATGACCTGGGGACTCTGCTTGGGACAAATTAGGGTTGGGCTCAGTCCAGAGAGGGCGCAGAGCTCGGTCTGTGGTGAAGGTTCTGACCGAGCTTATGACTCAGGTCAGGGCTCAGGCACGGGCCCGGAGAAGAGCTCAGTTGATGAGCAGGGTCAGGGCTCAGCCTGTGGCCAGGTTGGGGTTGTGTGAGGTCAGGCTCAGCCAGGTTCCAGAATAGTCCTGGTGTTTCTGCTCTACAGACAGCTGTCAAGGTTGGGCTGCATCAACCGCAGATCTCCCTTCCAGCACAGCCGTGCCCTAAGCCCCGCCCTGGACTTCCCATCTTCAGGCAGAAAATGGGGGTTTCTTGGTCTTCCCCGAGGCCCACTGCTGCCACTTTCCTTTTGGGACCTGCGGGGTTTCCCTGCTGGGTCCCTGCTGTGAGACAGAAACCAAGGGGGCTTCCCCTTCCTCTAGCCCGCCTCCCCAGCCCTGCCTCTGCACTGCCCATCAGGGAAGCCTCGGGCCAACTGCCAGGGAAGTACCAGCGCCAGCCAGGGAGCAATCCCAGGGGACCACTGGAGGAGAAGGAAAGGGAAGAGTGGCTGGCACCTGCCTCGCCCAGGCTGGCTTCCCTTGCAGTGCCCCCCAGTGGTGGCAGCTCATCCCCCACATCCCCTGCACCTGGAGCTCCCTGCTGGGGGTCCTATGGGTCCTGAGGCTCATGGTAAGAACAGACAAAAACTGCCTGGTTTTCCTCACATCCTCAAGTCCTGCCATCATCCTAGAGACATGTCCCTCACTCCCCGACCACAGCCACTCCTGACCTCTCAAACCCTGAACCCCATCGCCTGCTCTCTGGCCACAACCTCCTGACCCTCCCAGCCTTCTCTTAGGGTTCCCTGAGACCTTCAGCCCCTTGCTGGTTCTCTGCCCTTCTCAACCTGGCTGCAGCTGGCACTTCCAGCCTCGCCCCAAACTCCCACTTAATTCCTGATCCAGTCCCTGGAACTTCAGGCTTGAACACGAGGAGCCACCTCATATATTTTTGTTGTTATTGTTAATCCTACCTGAAGATATTTTTCCCATTGATTTTTTTATTTTTTAGAGAGTGGAAGGGAGGGAGGAAGGGGGGGAGAGAGAGAGACAGAAGAACATGGATGTGAGAGAGACACATCCATTGGTTGCCTCCCGCAAGTGCCCCGACTGGGGCCACGGAAGGAACCTGCAACCCAGGTACATGCCCTTGACCGGGAATTGAACCAGTGACCCTCCGGTGCCTGGGGCGACGCTCTAACACTGAGCCACACAGGCCAGGGTGAACCACCTCATACTTCACCTTTGCACAAGCCGGTCTCTGCCTGGAATGCCCTGCTGCCTTCTCTGCAGTTCCCCCTCCTCAACCTTCTCCCTGCCCATGAGCCTTGCCACAGGCTTCCTCCCTGGGTGGCTTGTTCTTTCCCACCATAAAGCTTGTCTCCAATGGACATTTAACATCTGTTTCTCTTGCCCACTCTAGCCTCACTCATATCCCTCCAGCCACACTAGCTTCCTCACTGCTTGTGGGACATACCAGACATGCTCCTGCCTCAGGGCCTTTGCACCTGCTGTTCCTTCTGCCTAGAACACCCTTCTTCCAGATAGCTGCAAAGCTTACTCTCCCCTACGATGTCTGCTCAAATGTCACCTTCACAAATAGGGTCTTTACTGGCTGCCCTACTGAAAAATGCAGCCCTGCTCTGGCCCTCTCTACCCACTTTCCTGCATATTTTCCCTATACGGCATTTTAGATATATACTATTTTTAAATATTTAACATTTTTTCTCTCTCTCTTTTTTTGTGTCTATCTCCATGTACTAGGATACAGGTTCCACAAAGGTGGGAATTTTTGCCTGTTCTGTGCAGTGATGTGTTCCCAGTAACAATAGCAGGTTCGTAATAAAGCTCCCAACAAAGCTGCCTTCTGCCACTAGGGCCTCATCGAGGCTGTGCTCAGGCTGCTGATCTGTGTGCTGCCCTGGGGGAGCAGCAGGTCTGGGGCCAGCCTGAGTCCTGGGGTCTCACTGTCAGCCTTCTCCCACTCCCACTCTGGCCAAGGCTCCAGCCAGGTGCTGAGGAATGTAAAGTGGGTGCCTGGGGACGGCCCTGGGCTTGTGAGCTTAGCAGATCCTTGGCAGAAGCCAGAGGGCTAGTGAGGGCAGTGCCAGACTCTGTCCATATCCTTGGAGGATGGGCCTGGATCCACCTCTGCCTACCTGGGCCTCAGTTTCCACAATGAGAAACTGGCTGGTGGGCTGAGGCCTGGGCTGGGGCCAGCAGGAAATGGAAGGGATGTGGTGAGGGGTGAGAATTGCAGGAAAGGAAACTAACAGCCCCAAGTGTGGACTGCAGTGTGCAGCTAACCCGTCTGGAGACCTCAGGTGAGTCACAAGCCTGCCCTGGACCTCGGTTTCCTCGTTGAAAAGCAATAGCAATTTTCAAATGCTGCCACTGTTATCATGTAGAGAATTAAAACCTAGATGATTTTTAAAAAGAGAAAGAACCATCCCCCAATTTTCTGGTTATTTTTCAAGCCCTGACAGCGCTGGCCTGTGGGGTACTCCACGGGCTTGCATGGGGATCCTGAATGCAGGAAACAGAAATCAGAAGCTTCAGATGTGACATCAGGATGGAGTCAGGGAGGGAAAATCTTATTCAAGGTCACCTAGTAGATCAGTGACAGAATGAAGACTGGAACTCAAGTGTCCTGTTTTCAGGCTGGCTGGAGGGGGAATCCCTGGGCCCTGTGACGTCAGTGCTGGAACTAATCCTTAGGCGAAACCAAGATGAGCTTTGGTGCAGGCAGGAAAGCTAGGGGGAGGTGAGGTTGGAGCTGGGGCCACACCTCTGAGTCTCTCAAATATAGATGTGAGACCCTGAGGCTAGGCGCTGCCCACCCCTCCCAGGAGAGTGGGGTGGATGAGGCCTGGAGTCCCATGATCACTGGATCTCTCTCCCGTTGTCCACTTGCACCCCCCACCCCCTAGTGTCTAGCAGGACTTATTTGTACTCCCTCTCACCCATCTTTGACCTGGGAGGGGGAACCTGGTGAAGGGAAAAGGTCCCACCTCTCTTTTCCCTACAAGGCTCTGGCGGGTCCCTGGGGAGGGCTGAGAGAAAAGGGATTGGGGGGCGACTTCCCATGAAGATGGTTGGCACCGGGTGCTCTATGTGAGGCCCACACCAATGCAAGGGCGGGAAGGCTGAGCTGTGCAGGGTGTGAGGGGAAGATGGGAGGCCGGGTGTGTTGAGTGCCAGGAAGGAAGAGCTCGAAGCCCAGGAGCAGGGCTATAAAGGAAAAATATCAGCCCTGGGCTAAAAAGCCTTGAGCTGAGTTCCAGCTCTGCCCTGCCCTTTCCCACGTGCACCTTCTTGAACAAGATGCTCAAACACTCCAGGCTTCAGTTTCCCCATCTGTAGAATGAGCCCGCCTCTCAGCCCATGAATGAAGCAAACTTGGGAGGCTGCGGGGTGTCATGGGTCAGGACCCATGCGGGGTCAGACAGACCTGCACTCCTTTCACAGCTCCCACACATCCCAGTGTGACTTTGGCCAAGGCAAACAACCTCCCTGTGCTTGACTCATCTCCC